GTGGACCAGCTTGCATCCCGCCGTGTGACTGCGTTTGCGATGGACATGGTTCCGAGGATATCCCGTGCTCAGACTTTCGATGCCCTTAGGTACGTAGCGTAAGAGGTTTCGATTATGACCACTCGCTAACCGTGAGGGGTAACTCATAGTTCCATGGCCAACATTGCTGGGTATAAAGCTATTCTCGAGGCATCAAACCAATTCGGTCGCTTCTTGACGGGCCAAGTAACTGCTGCTGGGTAGGTTCCCTGCTGGTCCTGCTGTGGCAGCCTCGCTAACTGTAATATTATGCAGAAAGGTTATTTTACTTGACCACTCTGTAGTGTTAGTACTAACGGAAATTGATCCAGATACCCCCTAGTAAGGTCCTAGTCATTGGGGCTGGCGTGGCTGGCTTGAGTGCCATTGCTCGGTAAGGCCATTTATATTTCAAAACAGACCCTGTGCTAAGATTGCAACCATAGGCTCGTCGTCTAGGCGCGATTGTCCGTGGATTTGATACTCGTCCAGCTGTCCGTGAACAAGTTCAATCCCTAGGCGCGGAATTCATCGAAGTAGACATACAAGAAGATGGCGCTGGCCAGGGCGGATATGCCAAGGAAATGTCCAAGGAGTTTATCGAAGCCGAGATGAAGCTCTTCATGGAACAATGCCGTGAGGTAGACATCATTGTGACCACTGCGTTGATTCCTGGAAAGCCCGCGCCGAAGCTCATTACCAAAGAGGTGCGTATTTTGACATTATCCGTAACCGAAGGAACATGCACTCATATCGATCAAGATGGTTGCTGCTATGAAACCTGGTTCTGTCATTGTCGATCTTGCGGCAGAGGCTGGCGGTAACTGTGAAGCAACCATTCCCGGAGAATTGGCCAAGTACCACGATGTCACTGTTATTGGTTGGTTTAGACTGTGAGCAGTACTATTTTGTATCCGGTGCTAACTTACTTAGGATACACTGATCTGCCCTCGCGACTACCTACTCAGTCATCTACTCTCTACTCCAACAACATCACGAAGTATCTTCTATCCATGGCACCACAAGAAAAGTCGTTCGGTGTTGATCTTACGGATGAGGTTGTACGCGGCTCAATTGTCACATTCGATGGAGAAATACTCCCTCCGGCACCACGACCAGTTCCCCCGCCGGCGCCAAAAGTAGAAGCAGCGGCTCCGGCAAAGGAACAAGTGGAATTGGCACTGACACCTTGGCAAAAAGTAACACGAGATGTGGCCACTGTCACCGCTGGCATGGGAACTACTCTGGCACTAGGAAAAGCAACGGGTCCTATTTTTATGGGAAACATGCTGACTTTCGGGCTGGCTGGCCTTGTTGGCTACCGTGCGGTATGGGGAGTCGCCCCTGCCCTTCATTCCCCGCTCATGAGTGTTACCAACGCAATTTCGGGTTAGTCGAGCTTCTTCAGAGTCACGTGTATCGATACTGATGCGCTGGTACTAGGTATGGTTGGTATTGGTGGCTTCTTCATCATGGGTGGGGGTTATCTGCCTAGCACAATCCCAGAGGCCCTTGGAGCTATCTCGGTGCTTTTAGCATTTGTTAATGTATCTGGAGGATTCGTGGTGACAAAGCGCATGCTGGACATGTTTAAGCGTTGGTGCTTCTGCTTCCCGCAAATGCTAGCTGCTCATAATGTCTAGGTCCAACTGATCCACCCGAATACCCATGGCTGTATGCGATACCTGCTCTTCTATTTGGCGGAGGATTTGTTGCTGCGGCTAGTACGGGCATGGCTGGGTTGGTACAAGCCGGATATCTGATTAGCAGTGTCCTCTGCATTGGTGAGTGGAATGATGCAACGTACTTTCCCGCCAACTTCTGAACAAAAGATAGGATCAATCTCTGGCCTAGCATCACAGCAAACTGCCAGGCGTGGCAATATACTCGGCATTCTGGGTGTAGCATCTGGAATTCTTGCATCTCTCGCAGCTGTAGGATTCTCACCTGAGGTGTTGGCTCAGTTTGGCGCTGTCGCTGGTGTCGGATCTCTAGCCGGTAAGTGCTACCATTGGCCGGTATACTGGAAATCTTCTCACAAGTCTTCAGGAGCATTAATCGGGCGACGTATTACACCTACTGGACTTCCTCAAACAGTTGCTGCGTTGCATTCCGTGGTTGGATTAGCAGCGGTGCTTACGAGTATCGGGAGTGTGCTTACCGATGTTGCAGACATTTCAACGCTGCACATGGTCACAGCGTACCTTGGCGTTCTGATAGGTAGGTGCTGTTTTGAATGGTGCATGGCTTACTGAATCCTAACACTCGCAGGCGGCGTCACATTTACCGGGTCCATTGTAGCATTCCTGAAGCTAGCAGGTCGCATGTCATCAAGGCCAACTATTCTTCCCGGGCGCCATGTAATAAATTCGACATTGCTAGGCACCAATTTGGCCACAATGGGTGCATTCGTTTCTATGGCCCCAGGCTCTCCTGTCATTGCGGCTACGTGTCTTGGTGCAAACACGGCACTCAGCTTTCTGAAGGGCTATACTACAACCGCTGCCATTGGCGGGGCCGATATGCGTATGTCCTCTCACTCACCCGATGAGAGCCTACTGACCTTTTATAGCTGTTGTCATCACCGTGTTGAATGCGTATTCGGGATTTGCCCTGGTCGCGGAGGGTTTTATGCTGAACAATCCACTTCTGACGAGTATAGGATCTTTGATCGGTGTAAGCGGCTCAATTCTGTCATACATTATGGTAAGTCGTCATGAACCCCCGATCTTTCACAGCTGATTTAACCCGGCATAGTGCGTCGCTATGAATCGATCTCTCACCAATGTACTCTTCGGTGGGATTGCAGCCCCTCAACAAGCAAAGAAAATTGAGGGTCAAGTTACGCAAACCTCTATCGATGATACAGTAGACGCACTTACAAACGCAGAGAACGTCATCATTGTATGTATATTGCTCTCTGACCCTCGTATAGCAACTGACAGCCTATAGGTCGTTGGATATGGCATGGCAGTGGCAAAAGCACAATACGCAATTTCCGAGATCACACGTATGTTACGCGCCAAAGGGATCAATGTCCGTTTTGCAATTCACCCGGTTGCCGGACGAATGCCAGGACAGTGTAACGTACTCCTCGCCGAGGCGTCGGTGCCCTACGACAGTAAGTATCCCTTGCCCATGGTAGTGCACGTGACTGAAACCGGAAAGTTGTCCTTGAGATGGACGAAATAAATGACGATTTTTCCGTAACGGATGTCACACTGGTCATTGGCGCGAACGATACAGTCAATCCCATTGCACTGGAACCCGAATCCCCAATCTCGGGTATGCCGGTGTTGCACGCGTGGAAGAGCAAGGAAGTGATTGTGATGAAGCGAGGAATGTCTAGTGGATATGGTGAGTGTAACATCCATGTGGTGCAGTGGTATTCATGTATTGATTAGTGTTTGCAGCTGATGTGCCCAACCCGATGTTCTATATGCCTGGCACAAGGATGCTGTTCGGAGATGCGAAGAGCTCGTGTGACGGTAAGTATCGCGGCTCTCCCTGAAATGATATTTCTAATGCAAATTAGCTATCAAAGCCGCCCTTGAAGCTCGTAAATAGAGTGCGGTCGATGTCTCTGTGCTTCGTGTTTTTTTCACTGTGTTTATTTGTTAGAGTGTATCCACATTTTTTATCAATGTGTTCATGCTGTTGTTCTTCCATAGCTCGACTAGTAGTATGAATGAATCCACCAGTACATGTTGGCATAAATGTCAATCCCCGATCTCTTGATATACTCAGAGTACGTCTAGCAGCAAGTCCACAAGTCCCGAATAGAGCACATTTACGTGTCGTTTAGATGTTACGCAGGTGTTGTTTTGGGGGATCTGCGAACACAGTCTCGCAACTAGTAGCCGAAAGGACTCCTGGATAAATGCCCTAACACCCGTATTATATGCAAAGGGCGCGCCAGCTGCTAGTTGACCCGCTGGAACAGGATACAATTCCAAGTAGTATAGACTTACCATACTCTAGTAGACCGTAGTTAGACATTGGTGTACCTCCTTGGCTACCTACGATAAGATCATGACCCATACCATTTCCACTTGCGTTCATTTGCTATTCCCACACGGCTTCATGTAATAAGCGCACTCAGATATAGGATGGTGATGTCCAGTAAATAGTAGTTCCTGAGTGAAACTGAAGTGGATGTATTGGTCTGGCAAGTCACCTGACATTCATCCATCCATTTTAGGAAGTCCGACCAAGAGGTCCACGACTTTCAAACAAAGCCAAATCGTTTTACTTGTTGGAAGTATAATCGGCTTTCCACATTGGGAACGCGTGTGTGGTCCCTCTGTTCGTTTAGCTGTGGCTGCATCGACACGTCGACGCGTTGTCTAAGGAGACCAGAGTCATGGCTCACGCAAACTCTTGATAGCCTTCCACCTTCTCCTGGTCCTGAGGACCTGTCAACACTTTCAATCCTATACACCATGGAGTCGAATATGCTCACAGGCGACCATCACGCAAAGGAATACCCCAGAGGATGGAAGCTGACGGTGCTCACCCTGGGAATCTGTTTGACTATCTTTCTGATATCCCTGGAGCATGTCTCCGACTTCTCTACTTAACCCGCGTAGTGGGCTAACATTATTCGTTCAGCTTCTCTATCATTGCCATGGCCATTCCCTCAATTATGTCCGAGTTTCACACTCTGGCGGACGTTGGTTGGCATGGAAGCGGTATGTTCGTCCTCGCCTGTTGCTGATTCAAAACATCCGCCAACACCAAGTACAGCCTATCTTCTGACCACGGCATCCTCGCAACTCCTCATCAGAAAGTTTCACACAGTCTACAATATCAAATGGGTCTTTCTGGCGGCACTGCTCATCTTCGAAATTGGGAGCGCCATGGTGGGAGAGAAATTTCCACGGCCTTTGAAGAATGCTGTGAGAAGAAGATCCGAGATTCCAGCTAAAGCAGTGCGTGTTTCCAACTTCCTTTCTTTGCATAATAAGACCCGCATCACAACCCTAAACTACACTACCCTCAAACCACTGCTCTTCTGGCAGTTGGTTGTTTGCAATATGATTATTCTCCGCCAATTGAACGAGATACAAGAAGCACTCTCTCAGGGACACCATATCCGCGTAGTTTCCATCGTCTACCCTTTTCGCTTCGGTGCAGCTCATTATAGGCCTACTAAAGGCTATTGTCCAGTCTCCTCCTATTATCTCTTGCTTTAAAAACATTGTCATATTGTAGGTAGATATGAAGCCATATTTTAGTTTCGCGGTAAACATGTACCTCACCGGTTGAGCTTATTGCATACATTAGTGATATTACCATCTGCGTCTCACCCCACGGTTGTGCATACCTAAGACTCGTCGCAGATGACGGTCGTTTCTGCATGCAGTTTTGAGATTGTGTAGTTTAATCCAGGGAGTTTTCAACTCCCCAACAACACGTAATAGGCCATGGTCATTCCGTATAGCTACATCTGGTACCCTTCCTTTGATACGTCGGTCCCCGGTAGACTTATAGTCTCCGAAGCATGAATTCGAACCAATGGCCTCGAGAACAGCTGTCATGACCTGGGAGAGCCTTTCAGTAAATCGGCTTTGTAAACCCATCTCGTCCCCGACAGCGAATCGCTCTGTGGATAGCAATGCCGGCCGTGTGATCGATTTATAGCCCAATACCTGACCACCGTTACTCAGGTTCAACGCCACGACATGCTGCCTGGCTTCTTCCTCAAAATCGTCCCAAGGGACCAGAGAGCCGATGAAGGTCCCATAATGGAGAGCATGCGATTTTGTTTTATTTATGCCGATATTTAAATCCGGCAAAGGCGCTCTAATCACCTGCAAAGCCTTCTGCGCAATTCCGCTTGGCATTTTGAAGGATGGGGTTGCTGGACTTGAGTTTTCATGCTTACTTTGGTATGCATACATACTATACTATCCATACTACCTACTACAGGGGAATTCAATTCACTGTTAGGACTCTGCACCGCGTCTAGAACACGGCGCGACATACACGCGCGTGTCCCAATTTACATAACTGTCCTAGAGTATTAGTCACCAAAACTCGAAGACCACGTAGCTTTTGACGTCGTGATGATAAGATTTGGACTCCCCGCTCTGGCTACTCCGCCTCTCCTGGTCCAACACCTACGCTCCACAGCATATTCCAAAACCTACAAGATGGATGATAATGGTAAGGAGTTCTTTGTCGGTTGGGAGTCAAAGGTTATTGGTCTACATGCCGACAATATTCCCAGTACTTGGGTGGTGGACGAGAAGCGGGCAGAACTCTATCATCAGCACACGGCCTACGAACATCATATGCGTCCCATAGTGGCGGCCGCCTACGGAACCTTTAGCTGCCATGAGTTGAACGATCCGTCGTCCAAAGCGATACTCAAGGTTTTCATGCAGTACGTTCTCATTACCCGGCCTTACATAAGTGCTCACCCTTTACCAGGATCCCGTATGAGGGGCTGGAGTACGCATCCGCGGCTGAAAGGGCCCGCCTTGCCTCTCAGAACATTCCTAACTTTGGAGAATACCAACTTGAGGCCTTCAATGCCCTTACCGAGAATGTATGTAGCTCTGCCCCAAAACTGCTACATGCGGAGCAAAATGAACAGGATCGAACGGGGCCAGTCCCGGGGGGTCTTCTTTACTATCTCCTCCTCCAACGCCCCCCTGGAGAGTATTTGAGCAAAAAGGGCTTCTGGGGTATGGACAAAGATGGTCGAAACACGGTTCGACACGCCTTCAAGCAAGCGTGGCTGTGGGTCTTGCCCTCTTCCTATCAGCATTCGCTATTCTCTAAAAAATATTATCCTGGATACTAGGGACTGCGTTAGAGCAGGATTCAAGCCTGCCATGTCGGCCACCAAAAATCTCATCTGGGATGCTGACGCCAACAAGATGTGAGTGCGGTTCTCGGGACTATAAGCCAGAAATGGTCCTTGTCGTCGCCTGAACAACTGGCTAATGTAGGACCTGTGTACGCTACGAGCAGCTACATCATGAACTTTGAGGACGCTGCTCCCTCGAATCAGAATACCGTCTGGCGAGATACTGAATGGATTGCCTGGGGTTTAGCAAAGGCGCCACGGGGGTATAATTGGGGGCCGGATAAAACGGTGCACCCGGATATGTCACGGTGGACGCTTTGAGAAAGCTCAACTTAAATTGCCGGGAGTCGACTATCTGCAAAGCGTGGAACTCGGTTCAATGAATGATGTTTGGTATGACTCAGATCCTAAACTAGCGAATCTAAAATGGACTACGATATTCGCGAAATACATGCAGACAACAGCACCAGCTGCCGAGGAGCAATCGGGTTGATCAATGAAATGCAGTAGCGGTGCTACACTGGCCTGAATCATGTGCCCCTCTTATAGAGAGAAAGTACATATATATATGGCGGCACGCTACTATAAGAAAGGGCGCAGAGTGTAAACCAGCACATACGACCACAGGGTGTGGAGAACAGGGCTTCCCGTCCGCTCAGCCGTACTTAAGCCACACGCCGGGAGGTTAGTAGTTGGGTGGGTGACCACCAGCGAATCCCTCCTGTTGTATGTGTTTTTTGTTCACCCTGTTTGACAGGTGTGTACTAGTATGTATGTATGTGTGTGTGTGTGTGTGTGTGTATCTATTCGGCAATACGTAAGACATTGCGCTCCAACTTTTGCATCTCAACTTTGCCTCTACGACATCTTTGATAACCGGCAGACCGTTGAGAGGTCCAGGGAATATTCGTCCACATTGCTCCCAGGCAGCTAATTCACATAGTGGAATAGAAACAGTCTGAAGGCTAAGGATTCTCTCTAAGTTGCAGAATGTGAGCCAGGGCCCAGTCTTGGTCGTTCGCGTATGGGTCTAGGTAGTGACCTGTGCGTCCATTGACAGTAGAAGGGTAGATGAAAGCACAGGATCCCTGTCCCTCCTCCGTAAACAGAACGAAGTTTGCCCTCAGAACTTTCTCCGCGCGCGTCTGATATGACTCGTCCCCCGTTGCTTTTGAATAGTGGTGCATTGCAATAGCTGTCAGAGTGCTCCAATAATGAGGAAACGTGTCACCCCACATTCGATCCTTTCCGAACCAATATCCGTCCCAGTGGCGGATGGCAACATCGTTCAGATGATAATCGGGCTGTCGACCGCCGAATGCTTCGAGAAGATCGAAGTGACGATAGGCCGACTTCAACCAGAACGTGTCTCTAGTAGACCGGTACAACTCTAGTAGGATGATGGCGGCTGGAGCAATAATCGATTGCTCATAGTTTACTTCCGATGAGGGATAGCTGTCCCCAACCTCGGCGATCTGCTTGCCGTGATCCACGAAGGGCTGTAATGCACGCTCATATGCAGCCTTATTTCTGGTTTTGTTGAAATAAGTGAGACTTTCGTAGATAGGCAATCCGATCGTGTAAGAAGTCTTGCCTGCTTCCGCGTAGAACCGTTCGAGTGTAGTCATGAGGCGTTCGACGGGTGTGGCGGTATAATTTCCGTGACTGGTTACAGCTCGATTCCCGAGGTTTGCCATGGCAAGATGAAGCTGCATCACCCAAGGCCAGTCATACAATCGGATGGATGCGGTCTTGGACCCAACTGGCCAGTCATAGACGTAGCCGGAGGGGTCTTGAAGCTTGTTGTTAACATAGTTGTAGTAGATTTGAAGTGACTCCTCGACCTCCGTGTCGGAATTGTTTTGGAGCCATCGCGCCACCAATACACCCATCCCCACGCGTTCGCGACCCGTGTTCCTGTCAGATGCTGTATCGAAGGTCACTATTCCCTCCATCTGGGTATCGTAGACTGCGTATGCGCCTGCCTTCGATGTGTCGGGGAAGGATGGGCTTATTTGCTGGTTTGTGGTGATGAACTTGACGCGGTTCTTGATGATCTCGTCAATCCCATGCACGGTATTGAGGACAATGGTAGCATTGTGTTGACTCCCACCCCGTTCCAGGGCGAAAGCCAATTGTTGCTCGCCTGCAGCCTTGGCCTGCATGGAGGTCGAGTACGTGCCTGCTTTCCCGGCGGGTGCGAGATCGACTCCCCCAAAAGAGATCTTGTCCCCCGGCCGCCCATAGACGGTTATATTCACATATTCACCTTGAACAGCCGTCCAGGATGATGCTTCAACATGGATAACCTGATCTGAGCGCTGCAGACTCTGTTCCAGAAAGTCTTCCCAATCATCATGCCAAAACATGGCCCAGCAGATCTGAGTTGACTCCATGCTTTCCAAAGTAGGCACCTCCGGATGGAGAAGAAAGACCCCTCGAGTGTTAGACGACGTTACTGTGTCGCGCGACTCCACACTATACCCCGACCAGGCGCCCTCCGTGAGAACCAGCCCCAGGTGCGGGCCTCGGAGGCCCATTCGCGTCAACTTGACCCATGACGAACTGGCCCCTGACGCCCAGATGTGCGCATGGGAGCGGTGCTCCAGGACATCCTCCGTCGAGGTATAATGGTCGTTGAATGGGGTGTAGATCCCCAAGGACTGAACACCACCAGCGTTCAGGGAGATCGCATCAGCGCCGGTGTTGGTGAATGAATAACATTCTCGAAAGCTGTTGGATGGCTCATCGACCCATCTCGTGACGTTCAGATCCACCTCCTCCAGTGTGTACGATGCCGTCATGCGGTCTTCGTCAATTGTGATATTGGGAGCTTGCCAGTACGCCCGATTGAGATCTCCCACATCCACATAGCCGAGTCCCCACCGGCTCCCCAGAGGCTGCCAAGGGGCATTACCCGGTCCACTTATCCAACTCATCGAGGCATTGTCCTTCGGATTCACGATGGAAAGCAGAGCCCCAGTGTCAAGATCTACATCAATGTGAAAGTTTGTCGAACGTATATTTTGCACCCCCTTGGCCCCAAAAGTGCCAGTGGCGAGTAGAAGAAAAGGCACAGGGCGCATTTGTTCTCTTTGTATAGCGCGAGAAGGCTACGCGAAGTTGGCTTTGTGTTCTTCAAAAAAGGGTTATACGCCCTCAACAGCATAACCCTCGCACAGACAACAGTGTTGATGGCAGGTTATAATTTATATCATAAACCATGTCACACTGAAGTCTCCACGAAATGCCCGAACAGGACATCCCGCAAGTGCATAACATCTCCAAATACCCCGACCCCAGAACGCTATGTCGGCTGATATGTATTTCATCCGACCAATCATCTAGTTGGTGGAATATAAGACAAGACGCGATGCTCGGTTAGGTCTAAAATAGGAAAAAGAGGGAGAAACGAAAAGACGAGGAGGAGTTCGGGTTCAAGAAGACCGAGCAAAGAGGGGTCGATCGAATCAGGGCATGGATCTACATATGACCTGACAAAACTGCTGAATGAACTTCTAGCGGGTTAGAATCCTCCCCATCTGAGATTCACGCCTCTCACCTTCCTCTTCCAGTTTACGATGTGCGTTTGCAATGGGCTGTTAAGGAATCCTCAATCAATCCCCCTGATTTTAATTTTGATACTTCCGTTCTGATTCCGCAGTGGCCTTGACCTATCTCTGTATGCTCCTGTTTGTGTCCAGGTTCTAAGGAGCTAAGATAGCTGTCGTCGATGATTTGAGGTCTTAGCGCTTCAAATAAGTGCTTCTTCTCACTCTTAGATCTATGGCCCATTCCAGAGTTCGTATGGGTGGTGTAGCTCTGGCAAGAAATTCGGGGCGGTCTAGTTTGATATCAAGATAGTACGACTGGAAAGTCGCTGCATTGACGGAGTTCTATCAGTTTCTTGCCACATCTGTCTTGTTTCAATCGGCCGACATTCACTATCCACGCCCGCAGGGATAGCTGCAGATTACACAAGAATAGGTCTTGCATCTTTGACGAGGGAACTAAACTGCTACGCATTGGTGATGGTGATACACCCTTGCCAGAGTATATTTTCAGCTGTGTGATTGATGAGACAAATAAAATCACTCGAATCGCTGATTGCAAACAAGCAAACACTTAATAGATGCTTTTGGTCTCTCCTATCTTGGCACAATCAATCTACTATCATTATCTGGAACGGAGAAGCGGCCGTGAAAGTGAAATGTCCCTACCATTCTCCATCAAAAAAGTATACTCAAAGTCATAGTCAGCATTCGGCGATTGCGAATGTAGACCCAACTATAGAATGAACACTAAACTAAGTCTCTCAGTGGCAGGGAGCTAACTTATCTCCATGGTGCTAGACAGGGCGGATACGCGCCTGGTCGTCAACGACAGATTTAATCCATTCCCTTCTAAGTAAGGTGGAGCATGTTTGAATATTTGCCGTTTCTCTGTAGGAGCATCGTAGCTTATAAATAATCGTACTCTTACACCCTAGGTAACCTTATGACTTGCGTGGAACTCATACATATGTGGTGATCGTTCGGAATTACGGAAGACCCTACTTTTATAAATTGTTTTGTCAGCACCCGCCGGATTCGGTTCACCACAGCCACCGCAGCCAACCTACAGAAAAGCTTGAGAGAGCCAGATCTGCCTTCGTTGTTCAATTTGAACGTGTTCACTGTTTCATCCAGGATGGATCACATCCCTCGCAATCCGCATATCCCCTCCGTGAGTAATTTATGGCTAAATCGAGATTGGAATAGCATCATCTGAACATTCTGTAGTGCAACGAGTGTAGGACGAGGAAAGCAAAAGTATGTGCGAGCATTCGCCTGCCACACTCTCTGCGTTTGCAAAGCTGATGACGGGAGGCAGTGTTCAAAAGAGCATCCCGTCTGTGCCCGCTGCCGACAAATGAAGAAGGAGTGTACCTACACCGCGAAGGTGGTTCGAACTCCTCTAACCCGGGCGTAAGTAGTTATCAGATAGGGTGTTGTAGGATACAGGATCTAATGTTTCTGTGGGACGGGAGGACCCGTGTGGGAAAGACAGCCATTTAGCCAATGTTGAGAAGCGCTTGGGTCAGTTCGAAACAGCCTTGCAACGACTATTTCCTACCGGCGATGTGGAGTACATTGTCCGCTCTCTAGTTCACGATTCCAGCGAGGATGGCACCGTACTGTCCGCCGATCTACTACCCTTCTCAATGCCCGTCGACAACCCACCGCTGGCGCAGGGATTCCCCAACCCCACACTGGATCCTAGCGGCGTCCCATCCTTAGGACTGCCATGGGGAAATATTCCAGGAGCTGACACGGGCCATTACGCAGTCTTCATTGATGCCTACTTTGCCAGTTATCATCCCGTTTACCCTTTTATCCATGAGGCATCTTTCAGGGCGGAAGCTCAATCTCAACCATCTACGGCCCATGGCCTGGAGTGGCACATCCTGTGGAACGCAGTTCTGGCCACAGGTGCTTGGTGCCATAGTGATGTGCAACCAGGAATTGACCACGAGTTTTACAATCAGGCCGTCGAACTCCTCCAGGGCGTATCTTTGCTGGATCTGGGAAGCCGGATGCTCCTGCAGTCCTTGCTCCTCTTGCATGATTTTGCCCAGAGATCTGGCATGCAAGAGAAGAGCCTTCAGTATCTTACTATTGCGGCTCACATGGCGATGAATCTTGGGTACCATCGCGACTTTCCTGATGACACATTGAGCTTACTGGAGAAAGAATGCAGGAGACGGGTGTGGTGGACTTTGTATATTTTTGATAGTTGCGTCGCCAAGAGCTTTGGTTTGCCCCTCCTGCTACCAGAAAGCAGCTTCATCAAGACTCAGGCGGTCCTGAACATACCAGACGAGGTAATAGCTTCTCACACATCCGCCTCTCCTGAATTGCTCCAGCTGATAATTCAGAAGTCCCTCAATCCCGAAACAACTGTGCCGCCGACGGAGGTAGACGGTCCCACCCTGTATACCGGACTCATCGCGCAAGCGCGGTTCCATCAGATGGCGAATTCTATCTATCGTATTCTACTCGCCTACCCGAGTGTGCCGCTTCACGAAGTTTGCAGGCTTGAAACCCAGATCAATGTGTGGCGCGACACTTGCCCATCCTACCTACATGATCCCAGCCTCTCCACCAAATCCCCATTCCTGCGGTTCGCCGGGGATCGGCTGCGGATTTGCGACAAGAACCTCAGGATTCTGCTCTGGCGACCGTATCTGATGGCATGGACGACGGATGGTGGAAACGATGAGCATCGGGTCGCGGCGTTGCGGTGCGTTGAGACTGCTCGGGAAAGTATGCAGCTAGTTCTGGGGTGTATGCAGAATCGGTCGTATCCTCGTGTGGCTGCGTCGTTTCTTCTGTACGTGAAACCTCTCTTTCTCTCGTGCCTCTCGATGATCGAAATGTTCCGACTAACCTAAAACCGTTATTAGTTACTGTCTCTTCCATGTCAGCCTGATATACTGTGTCTTCTTGAGATCGAGCGCCTCATACCCCTACAGAGCATCCCTTCTTCAGGATATCCAGACCATGCAGGACACTCTCTTGCATAGCTGGCCCAGCAATGATGCGCAGGCCTGCCACTTTCTCCGCGTCATCAATCGTTTATGCACCTTCGAGTCCCCATCATCGGCATCTCCGCAAGATAACAACACGCTTCCATCTTTAGAGAGTGTGTGACGGCTGGACCGGAGAGGCTAGCGCAACCACTTTCTTTTATTGAATCCCAAAGCACCATTTAGGCTTCTATGGAACGCAATTCATTGCCCCTGCTCTGTGGTTATTTCTATGCGCTAGGAAGGAAACGGTGCAAGGGCGCTTTGAACGGCTCTGGCGAATTAGTCACGCAATACTTGATAACATCCATCGAATTTGGTGCCGCTCATCAGAGAACTCCTCTATACTTTGAGCAGTATGACTTGGTGGAAAGGAAATCTGGCGGTAATGCCGATTCAATATACGAATCAGAACAGGATTGGAACTAGAAACGTACCATGCAGTGATCAGGTGCATAAAGGCCAACTGCCTAGAGGGATGGACCAATCCTTCGATCGTAGGCTTCACATACCAAGGGTCATATTGATGCAAGACACTCTACGAAGTGGTCTTATCTTGTTAAAGCAGTCATAGGGACACTGCATACAGTGATCAGTATTCCATGTAGACACAAATTGAAAAGAAAAAAAAGTAGTGTTGTCCCTCGCCGAATTTTCATTAGGGTATCCACAGTGTGAGAGGCCGAGACACCGAGGAAACGGAGTACCCCATCCCGCACATGGGTTATGTGTGCAATTACGCTTACATGAGCAGCCTCTGTAGTCGCGGGGACAAACATGAGGGTGCTTGATTATATATATAATATGTTGTTGCAAGACTACATAGTCATTGCAATCAAAAGCCAGCCAACTAGACCTCCTATAAGGCTATTTGAAAGTTAAACAGCAGTCCTTGCGTGTGATCCATACCCCGGAGTATGCTCAGTTCCCACCACGAGACCAAAGAGCAAAGAAGAGAAGGAACAATGTCTTCACGATTTGTGGCAGTCGCCGGTGCCACGGGCATGCTAGGCCAGCTCGTCGCCAAGGAGCTGACGAATCGTGGTATCGCCGTCAAGGCTCTGGTGCGCCCCAACACTGACGCTTCTCGCACCCAAACCCTCCGTGACCTTGGGGTCTCTGTCGTGCCGGTCGACCTCACCAATACCACGACGCTCCAGACGGAGCTGACAGGCGCCACCTGTGTTGTTTCCACGCTGCAGGGCCTGGCAGACGTCATCCACACTGCACAAGGCAACCTCCTTGACGCCGCCGTAGCAGCCAAGGTGCCGCGCTTCATCCCTTCGGATTTCTCGTTGGACTTCACGAAAACGCAACCGGGGTCTAATCGGAACCTGGACCTGCGGCGCCAATTCCACCCGCGTCTCGATCGCTCGGGAATCACCTGGACGAGTATCCTAAACGGTGGCTTCATGGACCTGCTAGGAGGCGACTCGCCCATGATCAACCACAAGAAGGGGAAAGTGGCGTATATTGGGAGCGACACACAGCTGCTGGACTTCACGACCGTCGCAGATACAGCCGCATACACAGCCGCCGTAGCTGCCGATCCGAATCCCACGCCGCGCTTCCTGCGCATTGCCGGCGACGTCGTCAATGTGAGGGGCATCTGTGACGCTGCGGCCAGGGTTGACGGCAGACCGTTTCACTCGTCGTGGATGGGAACAATTGGAATTATGGAGTTCATGATCTGGGTGCTGAAGCTGTTTGGTGGCCACAATCAGACCATGCCAATCTGGCAAGGCATGCAATATATGGTCAATATCTTCTCGGGCGAGGGGAAGCTGCAACCTCTCGACAATGACCGCTATCCCGAATTGAAATGGACCACGGTGGAGGACTTTCTACGTGAGGACCGGAAGAAAACCAAGTAATGTCGCAGATGGGTTGGTAACGGGGGGGGAGTGGGTTGAAATTTCAGTATACATTTGTACATGGTAATCCTAAAGCTGGGAGACTAACATCTGGTTGAACAGAAGGCAGTGTCTCAGCTTGTAATGTATATTTAATTAACTTTGTTGTTTTCTACTATGCTCTGGGAGATTGTATTCCCTGAAGAGCTTCACGTATTCAATAAGATGCTACCTCCCAAGTCATACCCTAGCTCATATGCCGTGAACACAGTCTTCACCTAGCTGGCCCTTCTCTTCGAGCTGATTCAAATATCGCTTAATTCTCTCCCCCAACTCCGACCCGTATTCTGACGGAGGCGGCAAAGACGAGAGCGAGCCTTTCGGCAACACCTTCACCCAGGTAACCGGCCTGAGACCCTGACAGGCAGCCCGAAGCAACTCCAAATCTTCTTGGCTGTAGCCGCCACCCACTACCACGGCTACGGGGGCCTCGGCGGTCCCAACAGAGCCAAACCCTGGACTCTCCGCCAGCAAACTTGGAATCTCGCGCTGGCCAGCCTTTTCACACAGGATCGATCGTATCACTGGGCCAGTGGGTTAAGCATACAAGGTGAGCGATACCTGCGGGAGCACTGGGTGGGCATACCTTGATACTCGGGTTGCAGGGCCTTTGTGACCCAGGCGCTGACCTCGGAATTCCTGCCGCAAAGAACCACGGGCAATTGTCGGGTCCAGGTCATATTACCGGAGGGTAGATCTAGGGCTTTGAGGATAAGAGGGAGGGTGTTGTAGCAAAGATCGGTCGTCTTTGGTTCGTGTTGTGACAGTAGGACTTTCAAAAGAAATGATCCGCCAGTTTGTTATGTTGGTAGGCAGCTTCGGGGTTCGGGGTTAGTTGGTCCAGCGATAGGCCGACAAGAGTGGGGGGCAGCAAGTTCCCACTCTGTTCGTTACCTAGTTTGTTCACATAGGAGAAGGGCTTTAGAAGATATGTCTCCGGAGTGACTGGATTACAAGAAAGAGCCAGACAAAAGACTAGTGGAGAAATGCTATAAACCCTGGACCGTGTGCCCTGCAAAGATCCCAGCAACGCATTTATCCTCATACCATCCTCCTCCTTTTTGTTAGACTACGAACACCTGTAATCATGGCCCAATCGCTCAAGCCAATTCGAGTCTACGGGGGCTCATTTGGCCCCAATCCATTCAAGGTCTCCATCATCCTGTCTGAACTCGGCCTTCCCACTGAACCGATCCCCACCGATTTCAGCGAACTCAAAACCCCTGCCTACGAAGCGATCAACCCTAACGGTCGTCTGCCCGCCATTTACGATCCTAATACTGAGCTCACGCTGTGGGAGTCCGGAGCTATTATCGAATATCTAGTTGAAACCTATGACAAGGACCAGAGAATCAGCTTCGCACCCGGCAGCGCCGAAGCGCACCACGCCCGCCAGTGGTTGCACTTCCAAATGTCTGGCCAAGGTCCGTACTACGGGCAGGCAGTTTGGTTCAAGCGATATCACCCAGAGCGCCTTCAAAGCGCGGTCGATCGGTATATCCAGGAGATCCGGCGGGTGTCGCAGGTGCTCGACCGGTGGTTGGCGACGCGTCAGTGGCTGGTAGGCGAGAAGCTGTCGTATGCCGATCTCGCTTTTGTCTCGTGGCAAAATGCCGCCCAAAATATGCTGGCGGATGAGGGCTTCGATATGAAAGATTTCCCCTATGTGGCGGCGTGGATGGAGAGAATGAACAGTCGCCCGACTGTCCGTGATCTGATTGAGAAGCAGGACAGGATGTTGGAGAAGCTGAACAGTGCTACCGCAGCATTTCGAAAATAGTGTGGCGGCTGCCATACGGACACCTTGGACTTTCTCGCTTTGTATATACTTCAATACATCATAGATATCTTAGAGAAATACATATTGATTTTATTCGGGGTATCTTCGTGTTCTCCTTCATCCTCATTACTGCCATCCCTATGGTACCGAGCGAGTGTGCAGCTAGCCGATTAGCCTTCTGAATTCCTCTGATATCCAGGCTTGCACTTGGTCTTGGCACCTAACTTCACACTTGACCAACGATTATGATAATAATTATTTCGGCCCGTATCGGCGTGCCTGAAGCATTTAGTATGCTTCTGCGTAGATTTTCCCTGTTTTAAAGAGATGGTTTAGGCGTTATTTCAGGTGTTCGTCGGGGTGCTTCAAGTAGTTTGTGACAGTAGATACCGCAGCAACCGTACGCCTCAAGGATACCTTGATGAGCGCAATCAGGTCTAATGAAAACATGAATGAAACAATTTCGAGCTGGTCCACCATATACAGCGTCTGGATTCTTCCTGTCACTGTGACCGGCGGACTACACAGTCCGACGATCAAGGGTGGGCTTCAATAAGCAACGTTAGTAAGACAGGCGGAAAGCCCTAGTCCGCTCCGTCTAGGAGTGGTGATGTAATCCGACTATATGCTTCCCCTGGCCACACCTCTAGGCACATCATTGCATATAAATAAACCAAGTATGTCTCTCTCCAGATCATGTCTACATTACAGCAATACGAACTCGCTATATCTAAAACGATACGAACTCGTTCTATCATAAATATCAATACGCACACTTTCCTTTCACTCTCATCATGTCCAAGCTCATTACCATCTTTGGCGCGACCGGCAATCAAGGAGGCTCCGTCATCCGGGCTATCCTAGCTGATGCCGCGCTGTCGCAGGAGTTTAAGATTCGCGGCATCACGCGGGATGTATCCAAGCCCGCTGCGCAGAATCTGATTAAACAAGGGGTGGAGGTCAAAAGCGTGAGTGTCCTCCGATCGTGTCTATTCCGGGAAGCTGACCAGGCCCACAGGCCGACATGGATTCCAAAGAATCGCTCGTGGAGGCGATCCGCGGCTCGCACACGGTGTTCCTTGTTACCACGCCTGGCTGGGGCTCAGGTGGTCCGGAGGTGGAGCTAATCCATGGAACAAACGTTGCCAATGCGGCCAAGGATGCCGGGGTCCAGCACCTCATCTTCTCGTCTCTGCTCAACGTGACCGAAACCTCTGGCGGCAGGCTCACCCACGTCCCCCACTTCGACATGAAGCAAAAGGTGGAGGCGTACATCAGTACCACCGGCATCCCGGCCACGTTCGTCCTTCCCGCCTACTTCATGTCCAATTTCCAGGCGTTTGGTATGATCCGCAAGGGCGACGATGGCATCTATACATTGGCCTATCCCGTGGCCAACACCGCCCGCTTTCCGCTGATTGATATCCCCGAAGATCTGGGTAAGCAAGGAGACCAGCTTTCGTGAAAGACAATGACTCTCGCTAACGTAGGACCGACGATAGGCAAGTTCGTCGTGGCAGCCATCAAGAACCGCGATCAGGTGATCGGCACGCAGATTTTGGCTGCCGCCGACTATTACACGCCGACTGATATCCTCCGCGATTTCGAGGAGGTGACAGGTCAAAAGACTCGGTTTGTCCAAGTGGATCACGATACTTACAAGAGCTTCATGCCCCCGGCGGCAGCGGACGAGCTGCTCGAGAACCACCTCTTTATCGAAAACCCTGGCTATTACAATGGCCGTAGCTTGGATGAGAGTAAAAGCCTTTTGGCTGGCGTCGGATTGAAGGCGACCTCGTGGAAGGAGTATCTTCAGAAACATAAAGCGGCATTCCAGTGAATAGAGAGATATAACTTGGTTGTATTTATACAATAAAGTCGGGGTTTGAATCACATATGTCATTAGATACACAGAGCTTTGTTCCCAGTATAGTTTATCTTGCCCTAGTTTCCGTATATTAAAGTGGGAAGGCTGCAAGAAGCCACAGTGTCTAGTAATTCATTATCTTCCCGTGCGGTCTCTGTTACCTAGTCAATAGGTTAAATCATTATAGTATGCTTATAGCATTCTGTCCATGACCCACCAGATCTCACAACGCCGTCATCCTCGAAGCAAGTTTAACTCGAGAAGTCATTTTGAGCTACATGGAGCAAAGAATCCTAGAGTTGGACGTACCCAGCACTGAGATCCACGAAGAGTCTACCCCGGTACATGACGGTATACCGGTGTCGTCGTTGGGGGTTGTCGGAGTAAACCCTAACTGGGTCCGAAGATCGCCGCTTGTGGGTCGCGCGGAATACCCACTCCCGGAGCCCTCCTCGGCCGCAACATGTTACATACCCCAGGACCGAACCACGTAGTCCGCCTATTGATCATTAGTCCCAATTTGTAATCGCCGATGAGGGAAGAAACAGACATCGGGAAGGCATCCCACCCCGTTACGTAGTTGTGGGTATTCAGTGCTCTAGAAACTCGTTGCAGCTCGCTCCTAGAAGACCACTTCTGTGGACAGCGTATTCCGAAAGGCGTTACTACAGAGGTTTGTTCGACCATATCGGAACAGGAGCCAACCAGCTAAAAGAGGATCGCTAAGTCTGACAAGCTGTAGAGCTTATGACAAGTGGATTGCAACGTCGAAGCTTTCCAGTATTCGCGTTCATAAAACCCTCCTGACCGGAACGCTAACAACAGGGAAAGAAAGGTTGCTAAGATCTACTACCAACTGTCCGAGAATGTCTACCAAATATTCTCGTACAATATTTTTTATCTAGCAAGAAAAAAACAGCAGGGGTCCTTCGTGTTCGCTGCATCGAAATAGCGTAGCACGGAAGCACTTGATGCTTTTCCCGGTGTTACCATTCAAATCTCCCTTGGATAGGGCTTCTCAAACTTCAACCACTTGTCCGGCACTTCATACACCTGTCCTGTTTCCACCACCTCCGAGAACCACTGACTAAATTCTCGAAACTCCCGCTTCGTCGCGCCCGATCCCGGGCCCAAATCGAAAAATCTTCCATCTGTAGTTTCGAACCCAGACGGGATTGTATCAGCCGTACACTGATCATTCAGGATCGAAACACCGCGACCAATCATAGTCTGCATTGTCTCGACGTAGCGCTTCGCAAAGTCGGCAGGGGAATCGCCATCTCGTCGTGGGACATACTTCCTTACTTCGCTTTGGAAGATAACAGAATCCGGATCGGCGCCCTCGGCAATAAGGCGGTCACGCTCCTGGCGCGCCGAAGTTGCGTAGTCTCGGGGAGTCTCGTACACCATGGGCGAGTCGTCCGAGTCGTGAGCTGATTCAGAGTGCATCGCACCCAAGGGTTGGTGGAGGTCTTCTTGTTCGGACGTCATCGGTGTTGCGGTAGCCTCCTTCATCCTCACACTGTCCTTGTCTTCGTTGTAGTTGTCCTATGTTGAGGGAGCTAAATGATGGATAAAACGCTGTGGGAGCATAGAGAAAGCCTGGTCTGGTTTGAGGGGTATAAATAGTTACCTACTTACGGCTGTGTGCTGACTAAGAGGGCTCAACAACAACAACACTGGTGGTTCTATTGTAGAACAACTCGCAATATACGGATTGAAACGCTCTGTTAAACCTGTATACTGATGGTAGAAAGAGAACATGATTTAGGACTCTATCAGTAGGTAACGTGACAAGACTGAGCGGCGAACAGTCACAATACTCAAGGCGCGAAACTTCGCTCCTGCGTAGTGATCGACCTATTCGACTCCATGATAAGTACCTCCTACTGATAAGATGAGGATGAGCGTAGCCGAGATAATCGTCCGGTGCCCCCCTTCGCTGTGGCTGATGGGTGGAAATTGCGGGGTTTGACGGGCTCAGCATCGCTGGATCCTTTCTTTCTACACGACCGCGATATACAGGAAGCGCCGTATGGACCTTGACTGAGGCAGCTCGTTATGGCCCATCTCGACCGGGGTGGAAGCAGACATTTGTGGGACCGGAGCGTACTGATGTTTCTGGGTCATCGCGGCCTTCAACTGATCCCTTTCCCTGCTAGCAGACACTAGTATTCAAGTAAAAAGCTACAAAAATCTAATACTGCTTTGGCTTCGCTCTTCCCACAATTCGAAGCATACAGGACCGCGAGACTTTATCACCTATATTTACAGAAGTTTCAGTGCTGACTATCAACAATGTAGTCTATTAAGCTGTGAGAAAACAGACAACCTCCGAGGATACAAGAGAAATGTTCAGTTAAGAATAAAAAATATTGTCTAAAAATACAAACTCCTTGTTCTTTAATTCGATGTATCCTGGCAAGATTAGGTGCCATAAAGTAGTAAACCCGTATGTCTAGTACGTACAGTAGAATGGCAGCAATAACTCTTAGGCACTGTCCGGTATATGATATGCCTAAGAGATTGTCTTTTCTCATCATTGAAAATTATAAGATTCCTCTCCATCCTCCATCAATCTAGTTCCTTCGCACCCGCTTAACAAATTAGTAGTCGCTACGGGCCTTCCAATACAGCCAGGGTGAGGGCACGAAACATGTCCTTCGGGGGACACATTTGCCAGGTATTCATCAATTAGGGTAACAATGTAGCTTTCTTAATATACTGTTCAAACTGTTTATCTACTCTTTTCTTTTTATTATTTAGACAGAATAGATATGGATTCGCTGTAACTAGTATATTCCAAAAGATTAAAAGTCTATATTTTAGCTATAGAGTATAAATAAACTTGAAAATAGTTAATCTATTTTTTGAACTTATGAATCAATTTAATATATAAATATTAAAATTGACTATGATTTCGATAAATATAGTAATAGATATATTTACTGTTTCTTTGCATCTATGTAACGGTATTTTGAGGATACCGAGGATTCCAATCTTTAATTTATTCTAATCTAATTGATACATAGACTATTTTGTATTCAGAACATTTTTAATTCTTCGGTATTATATTTGTATAGTTACTAATACACTATATAAAAAGGTCGAGAAATCTGCTTTTAACAACCTCGAGGTTTGGCGTAAAATAGTGATTTAACGGAAACTTTCGACTTAGAACTGTGTATACTAGCCTACCCTAAGTTGTCACTTATATAGAGACCTTTCATGAAGTTCCCCGTCACTACTGCCGTGATCCCTATTTACCAGCTTTCGCAGTAAGGTCGGAGATCAAGTTCATGGGTAAAGCTCGACCGGGGCTGGGTATGTAAGAACCAGTACGTCTCAGCGATCTAGTGGCACAGTTAGCGGTGATACTTTTCGCCTAAAGAACGGCGAAAGCAAAGCACTTACCCAGTTGGGATCAATCTTGGCATCCGGCGTGTCTTTGTTATAATCCTTCGTCTTCTCTGTCGCAATGATCCCGTCGATAATGGCATGAGCAACATGGACGCCCTTGGGACCAAATTCGCGCGCTAGCGATTGCGAGAGCGCCCGGACCGCGAATTTGCTCATGGCAAATGAACCCAAGCCGGGACCCCCTTTCATGGCGGCCGTTGCACCTAGAACGACTAATCAGTAGGGTGGCTTTGGAGTTTGGAGAGGGCGTCACCCGATCGCCTTGCGGCCATCAGCATCCCGCCCAGGCTCCGGCAATCTGTCGATCACGAACCGGTGAATATCATCGTCGGCGGATGGCGCAACTCTGCCTGTGACACCGCGCGCAACATCAACGGCAACACTGCCTGGGAGAAATTCGAGGCCCCCCGCGCAGTCGCCTCGAGACTATCCAGGAACTCTGCGCCGGAGTCCAGGAATGGCGCGCGCGTGAATTTGCTAGCCACGTTAAAGACGGCCGCCGACACCGTCAGATCGGATCCGAACTGCTGCTCGATCTGCTTCAGGGTGGCGTTTAGACTCCCCGCATTGGTGACGTCGGCCGGGATGCCAATGGCGCATCCTCCATCCTGATTGATGCCCTGGACCAGAGGGTCGAGGCTCGCTTGACTGCGCGCGAGGAGCACGACGGGATATGCCTTCGCGAAGCGACGGGCGATGGACGCTCCGGTTCCCGGCCCAGCTCCGGCGATGATCGCGATTGATTTGGAGAAGGATGCCATTGGAGAATAGGGTGATGGGTTGAATGGCGGGTTGTGAACTTGAGGTGCAATGGAAGCTATCCGTCCTCAAGGTAGCTTCGTCTGCGGGTGTAAATAAAGCAAATGCAGGAAGCAGATACTACGTCATGAAATATCTTGGTATTGATCAGCGCTCGGGCTCCGAGTGTCCGAGTGAGCCGTGGTTCCACTTTACGGGCTCCACTGGTTTATTGCAGCTATACCGGTTGCCAAAGTAACCCTAGATTCCAGGCGCCTACAAGAACTTCTCCTAGGGAAGATGGAAATTTGGCAATTTCTCTCTCAAATATAAAACTCAGTCTTATGATTCTTAACTACTATATATCTCGCAGAGTTATTTCATGCCTAGAACTGAATCTCTTATACCTATTCTTCCTGTGTGTCTAAACTCATTGATATATAATTTGCACCTATGTGACCGAGATATCCACCAAGCAAGAAAATGGAAGTAGTTTTACAGATACACAGCTTCTATCTAAAATTCTCAGTTATTCTAGATAGCAATCACATTGTTTATACCCTCCGGAGATATACTATCCAAATACTTGCTCATCCACCGCGCGTTTTCTACATCTACCCGTTCATCCCACATGACCTAAAGATTAGTCCTTATCTAGGCATATATTCTAACTATTTCTATATGTCTTAGCCTTTCAATACGACACTTAGCTAATACAGTCTAATATGTAGCATAGAAAGATTATAATTCTCTGTTACTCTTTGTAGAGATCCATGATTAGGGCTGCTAGCTGGGAGATCCTCTTCCATGTATTTCTCTTGTAGCAAAATCATCGGCATATACGTGCGTACAGGACATATGCTTCAACTGACCTCGGCATTGTCTCCGTTTCCCATTAAGATGTCTCCTTGGACGTATGCCCAGAGGCTTTGTTTCACCCGTCAGTGTCCTATCTTTATCAGCCACCCTTTACATATGGCCAGTGCCAAGCCATAGGAGAGAACCGGCGGTGGAATGTGAGGTAGTGGATGGAATGGTCTTTCACCGGCATAACGCTTTTATATCTAGCAGAACGATGAGTATTATGGTTTGCATCAGATTTCTAAGATTTCTATATACGAATAATCGCAGCAGCTATTATACAAGAGAGGGGGGGATTCTATCTAATCGTCTAGTACTCATTCAATCTGGCAGCCGCTGGTGGATATCTCGCCCCTGCCACGGGATAGCTGTCCAAGATGGACTGGATCATCTGAAGGTCACTATCATCCAATTCAACATTCGCCGTATTCTCCAGAACTCGTTCCTCGGACCGGGCACCAGCGATCGGTACAATGATGGGCATCCCTGGTTTTCTGCTCTGAACCTTCACCCATGCCAGTGCCAGCTGAGCCGTAGTACAGCCCTTTGACTCTGCGAGCTTCTCCAGCTGCTCAACAAGCAGACGATTTTGGGCAATACTCTCAGGCTGGAAGCGGGGAACCATACGGTGATGAGTTTGAGGCAGATCGTCCACGCTCTTGATTGCTCCCGTTAACATTCCAGCACCCAGTGGAGTATGTGCCACCAAGACAATGTCGTTCTCCGCGCAGGCCTCCGCAACCCCATTTTCAAATACTTCTCTCGACCAGAGACTGATCTCAGCCTCGACCATGTCGATCTTCGTTACACGAGCAGCACGACGGATGGTGTCCGCCCGCACTTCGCTCAGCTGGATACCCCCGATCTTGCCCTCTTCCCTGAGCTCCGCCAGAGCCCTCACGCTCTCCTCGATTGGTACATTGGGATCCACTCTTCCCAGACCAAAGATGTCGATCTTCTTCTTCCCATCCAGGATCTTCAGAGCGTTGTCTGCAAAGGCGCGCAGGCCGTTCCGGGAACAGTCCATCGAGAAGGTCTTCATGTCCTTCAGACCAGATTTAACGGTGAAGACCACTTTCTCAGCATCCTCGGGATAGGCAGTGAAATACCGATTCATTAGGTGCAGGGAGTTGTTGTCCGGCAGGCCGTAGAAGTCTGCGCCGTTCCAGACATTAGCCCCGGCTGCTAGGGCGGTTTTGAGCACCCTGAAGGCTTTCTCGTCTGGAGTGGGCCCGTAATGCCAGATAAGGCCTGTGACGTGTCAGGAAATGTCGATATGGTCAGAGGGAAGTAAGAGATGGTATACGTACGCATCAAGCCTAGGCCATTCTGGCTAATTCTCTTTCCAGCGAGAGTAGTCATGTTTTGGTATTGAATGTTGCGAAAGATATACGAGGTCTGATCTGAGGAATCTCATCTTCCGTACTAGGCACATTCCATTTATACCTTTTCAATGTGCAAATTAAATCCGCCATATATAGCTTATCGCCGGTAATCGGATATCTCCAAAATGCGATAAATCCGAGGGTGCCAGTTGTGACCAAGTCAGAATTTAGTGCCGTTGGTTTGGGGTGGGGCAAGGCTGAGTCGAAGATAGCAAGAGCTATTGTGAGGGCTGAACTGTAGACTAATGGACTTGAGGATAAATATAGGCCTCACCAAACCCCACAGATGCACAGATCGGGCCCTTCGGCAGATTTTAAGTGAATAGAACTAAACCTGTAGATTCGATATAGATTCTAATATTTAGTAATCTATATTCTATAGTATACCCACCGTATTCCTGCCAAGTTATATATAATATTTATTTCATATAATATAAAACAATTATTTCATAGATATTTGTTTTATTCTATCTAATATCTTATACAGTTATACAGGTGACAGGTCTATAAAATATATGCAGCAATAAATGAATAAGAATCAGATATAGTAATA